TCGGCAAAAATTGGCAGTCCATTGAACATCGAAAACCCAAGAACACTTGATATGAGCTTTCCGCCTAGATCAACGTCGAACGGAAACAAATGTCTCAAAGCTGAAACGTTCCTGTCTCCCCACAATTTCAGTTACATTCTTTCAGAAACATTGATTCAGGTGATCTCTGTACGGAAGTGAACATAAAAGTGAAATTGGTTTACTGACCATCCCATCTTGTACTGACCAACGCCTCCAGGGAATGCACGAATAAAATGCAGGTCAGCCATCAACGTGACCGGTTTGAAACCAGTTGGGTAATACTGACCTGCTGGTCCAGTTAAGACATAGAGCTTTGATTGGGTTGCGTGCGCCACACCTAATGTTGGCTAAAGCAAACGAAAAATATGTTGGCATCAACTTCTTCAGGAAAGTGAAAAAAAGACGAGAATCACTTATTCATAAATAAAGATTGGTTGCAATCCCATACGAACGTGCCATATGAAAGAGCTATTGATAGATAATTATGTGATCAGTGAATATAAACGTTTGATCACCGATTTCAGTCAGCACTTACGTCGACTCCAATCATTGTTGGTCGAATGTAGAGTGAACTGGCTTCAGAACGAGGCACCCAAGCTTGATCGATTTTTATCATCTCACTAATGATTTTAATTAACTCTTCACCGTCGAAATCCTAAAACAACTTTAGCTGAGATTTGTGTGACGCATAAAAAGTATTCAAACACTGCTTCTTTCCTCCGACATTATGATAGATTGATGATGCATTCAAAATTTCAAAATAGAATTTCCAAATTCTTTTCAAAACGGTATTTTTCATTCACAGCGGCAGACAACTTTGATATCTGATCAGTTGTCACCAGAAGATCGGCAACTGAATATTTTAACACTAGCAAATTTATAGAGTGTCGCCCTGCCGTTGATTACTTTTTGCATGAGCTGTCCTTATTTGCTAGTTTGCTTTCCTTGTATGTTGTTTGTCACTGAGCGAAAATGTCAACGTAAAAAGTGATTCAGTCTT